GAGTGTTAAGTTCTGTGATGAAAATCTGCAACTATTAAACAACGGGATTAATTTAATCTCAGTTCCACAAAATTGCATCAATTAGTTGTTTATGCACAAACTATAGCCTTCTTTTGCCTCCTTCAGTTTATAGTGTTACTTATAAATAAATGCATTTGGATAGAAGTTTGAAAATCACAGCAAAACAGCTTATTGAAGAAATTGAAGGTGAATATGTGCAAAACATTTCCATGTAAATTGCATGAAACCACTCTTAAATCATGTAAAGACAAAAGGGAATGTAAATTAAGCTTAAGCACCTTTTTTGTGTTCTTTTCCCACTGTTGCCTTCTTACATAATACTTGGTAGAAAAAGACATTCCATATGTGTGCTCACTGACTTTATCAAAATTCCTCTTGAACACAGTGTGTCTTGTAAAGCTTTCCAGTGGTAATTTACCACATTAAAAATAGATAAGCTTAAGAGCTTGCGGTGCTTGAAGTCTGAATATTTACCTGCGTTAAGGTGTTTGAGTGGCACTGTTGGTGTCCGATTTAGATTAGATGTAGATTTTGTCATCTTCTTAGCTCAGTATCAAATACATTGCTATTTTTTATACATAACAATTAAATACAGCTATTATTCAATATGGAAATGCGTATTTTCAGCTGTTTAATGTACAGCTGTACAGTTAGTGTTTTATTATCTGCCAACAATTCCCTACAAGAGGACCTGAGAAATTAGCTTTTCCACAGGAAGTAACAGTGGTGTCATTGGTTTCTCTTTTTTTTTCCTTCCTTCCATAGAGTTATGTGTGGTGTAACATTTTTCAAGACATTAAGAAATGCAGTAGATATTGAAATACTGCATAAGTACTATTAGCAATAAAATAGCACTATAAAATTGTATTGGGGTGACCTTTTCTGTAAACTGTTCACTTTTTAGACATTGTTTTGTATAACCATTAGGAAAGTGCAGGGTTAGTCTCTCAAATAATACACAAAAGGGGATTTTTCAATCTGAATTGAAAAGTATTCTTACATTTTATTTCAATTTTGTTCATGTTTATTCCTGCTTGTAATTTTTTACGTAATTTTTCCCTCTAATCTTTAACTGCATTAAACAAGCTTAGTTGCTAATCAAAGAGTATCTATTGAAGTAAAGTTCTTAAGAAACTTCTTAAAATGTGGCAATCTGCTACAAGTAGAATCTGTGTCACTTTTGGTAATCTCTATACGCATATATGTGTTTTAATACTGATTTAATATACTGCTGCTTTGTTATCAACTGCATATACTTCCTTTTGATCTGTAACAAATGTAATATATAGTCCCTATTAGGTTTTTTTTAAAAGCGCTTTCTTAGGAATATATCTACAATTTACAAAGTATATGCAGTATTGCCACAGAAAATCAAAGCAGCAAATACATCACCATGTATTAAATCCAGCCCTGCTAAAATGTCTAGCATGCGTTTTACAGATGCAAAGAAAATTTTTCACTGCATCTTTGCAACTACATTTGCTGTTTCTTTCCCTTTCATAATTCAGAATGGAGAGGCAAAAGTATCACAAGACATAGTCCTGCATACCCATTATATAAATGGGCGTATGGATGGTACTCATAAGGAGGGATTGCACATGGATACATGGCTAAGGAAACCTGAGCTGGAATCACGGGATCTTCCTGGGGCACCCAATACTTCTCCCCTTGCACTTTGTTAGCTTGTGGGTGAGCAAGCCACAAACTCTTCCTGTTTATGAGAAGAAACAGAAGGCTTCCCAGTGCTAGTTATCTTCTTTGACCTCATGGTCTAAGGTCCAGGCTAAGCAGCAGAAAACTTCAGTGTCTCCTGTATTTGCCTGTGCTGACCTGTTTTACTGTCTCTATCTGAAAAATATACTGCTAGGTTTTTTCCCCTCGAGCAGCCACATGCAACAAAGAAACGAACAGCATACAGAGAAAAGCTTTTAGACAATTCACCTCAGGTGCACACAATATGTTATCTACATTATTTGGTATTTCAGCATGTTTTGAATGTGTAACTGTAAGCACGCAAGTAGTATTGGCCTGAAAACTTGTAACACTACCCGAAAGATTACAAAGGTGATAGCATTTTATTCTAAACATATGCTTTAATGATGAAGAATATACTGAAAGTTGGGCTTTCTGGACACTGAGACTCATCTTATTATGGTTGTATGAACTCTAAGCAAAATGTAGGTGGTGATATGATGGACTGGTTCAAATACTCTTTTAAAAATGCTAATTGTATTTAACCTTCCAAAATATAGCCAGACTAAAATAAAATATATGCCACTATGTGTTTGGAAATTTTCTCTAAGTGCTATGTTACTAATAATTTGAAACGGGTGCAGGTTGGCTGTTCAACTGATGAAGCTTGCATTTTGAAAGTAAATCATGGTGGTAATTTCATTCATATTCCCATTACTTGAACCGGCTAGTTGGATTTGTACCAATTACTATTGCCAAAACAATTGTCACACATTTTAGATATGCTAGTAAAAACATGTTCCATCTTGGACAAATTTTTGAATAGTAAATGTTGACTCTTTTTCCACTTGAACACAAACACCTGATTTCTCATCCCATTTAGAACTGCAAAGATATGCTGTGGCTTTCTTGCTTACTGCCCAGTAGTCTTTTAAAAAACAATATGGTCCCCAGACTTTAAGTTTAAGAGTGGAAAAATTTCTAAATTAGATGAGGGACCAGGTGTTTGTCAAGCTCATTTCATAGATTTTTAATTCATGGATACTGTTAAGCGAATGCATAGAAGACATTCTTATCCTCATTGGACCTGCTTAAATGCTTTAAAAATAGACTACTTTTTGATAAAATGATAATGTAATGTATTAGTAATAACTTGTTATAAAGTGAACACTAAAGAATGTCCAAACTAGATGACATTGAAGATTTTTACCAAGACTAACGTTTAAGATTCAATAAAATGTGCTGACAAGTATGAAGTCACTGTCTTTAAAAGGAATCTGCTGATTTATTGTTAAGCTTCCATTAGCCAAGACTGCTAGATTTCTGTGTTATACCTCCAGCAATAACTGTTTTGAATGTATTCCATTTAGCATTTTCAGCTGTCGTCCTCCCGAGCAAACAGCTCCTCTAACTTAAAAATATGCAACAAATCAATTCAATTAAAATGAATAAATTCCACTGGTAAAGTGATGTTTCCGAATGGCTGTGAGGACCATAAATTCAAATTAAGGCTTGCACGACCTCTTCCTAGGTTTGAAGAGGCTCCTTGGTACATTAGCAAAAGGAAGAAGGGAAAGCAGTCACCCTGTTTAGCAGCACTCACCTGGGACGCTTGCAAAAGTAACTCTGCTGAGGGCTCATATAGCCAGATCTTATAAACATATCATAAACCAGAGAATGAAGCAGACAGACATAATAGCCATTAATTGTACCTAATGTTAATATTCAGATAAGGTTAAGTATGGGAGTAGTCATAGATGAGTGGAGGAATAGGAAGTTAATTACTGCAAAACTTTGATCATGGACACACGGTGTTTATCATTTTATTCATAGAGTGCTTTGCTTGTTCAGATACTTCTTCATTCCAGGCAGTAGTGTGCATTGTCAGATTCAGTTTTTAAGGTAAAGGTATGATGGATATATGCTAATTTATACATGTTCATTGAATATATTTTTCATAGCTGTATTTTAATGATCAGATTGTACTACAGAGCGCTTGTTCTTTTTCTGGTTTTAGTAAGCTTTTAAGTACAGTTACAAGAAGGACAGACCATGCTGTGTTGCCAATAACTTTTGTCCTCTTTTTGCAAATATGATGAATGCAATATTCTCCTCCCACCATTCTGTAATATATTTGATTTATTTACCAATCTAAACCTGTATATGGCTTCTGGTTTTTGCAGTCTGAATGAGGACGTAACATGTGTGGAAACAGGATTAAAGTATCGCTCCTAACAGTTTCCTAAAAGTAGTCTTTGTTCTTCTGCTGCTTTGCTGTCTCCTACATTGCAGGATCATCCTATGGCTCATTTATAATCTACTGTATTTAATACTTGAAAACACGATTTCTGTATTCAGTATGCATGCTTTACCTTTTGTCTTCAGCTGGTCTGAACTGGGAGCCTACACTTTATTATCTACTTAGAACAGAAAGAGATTAATATTAAAGGGATATCAAACTCTTAAATATCCACAAAATTTGTAAAAAGAGATAGAGCCACATTACTGAGCATTATGTAGGCATAATTAAAGTGATACAAAGTTTAGCTGACTATGTATCAGCACTATTTCTGCATTTATTATCCTGATTTTCTGCAAGGGAATACTGCATGACTCTTAAGGTTTTATATTTAATTAACTACTACAGAAAAGCAAAATCATCTTCGTATTCTTTTACTATTTAATGGTATTAGGACATTATCCTGAACTAGAATTGAGTATTCACATGGAGAAAAGGAATCATCTGATAGGTTGTTTCTTTCTTGGTCTGATTGATATACCTGATGGTTAAAGAAACAAAGAGCAAGTCAGTTTTGTAATGTTTTATAATATAGTACTGTCACTGCAAGAGAATAACCTTTCACACTAAGTGTTCGGGTTGGACATCATGTAGTGTTTGAGTTCTCACTGCAAACCAACAGTTGAGAGCATCTGCTTAACTTCCAAAAGACTTGTTAGCTCCTCCACTTTTCCCCTGCTAGTTTTACAAGGCTTCCACCTCTATCAACATGTGATATAAATCAGAAAAAGAAAGTACTATCACAGTAAATACGAGTAAAATTTTGTGGTAGTTTTGACAATTTGTGTCAATTGCCTCACAGCTGTGCCACTGGTGTGGGGCAAGATTTTTGGGGGTTGTATTTTGGATGATTCAGTAATCTCAACTGGTGTACCCCACCGTTGGAGAGGGCAATGAATTGATAGTAACGAGTTTTGTATTGACTTGCTTGTTCTACAGACTCTTTAAAACACATTAAAAAATTAATAAAAAGTTCTTTTTATTTCAGGTGGGAGATGAAAGAAGATGCAGATCTTGAAGATGAGGAGAAAGTTATGATGGAACACTTAAAAAATGTTTATTTGACACAGAGCACTCCTATCTCAGAGGATAAAGAAGAATAATTACCTTGACAGGTTTCGGGTAGCACCTTTTTCTGAATTCAACATGATTAACTTAATGGCTTAGTTATAACTGACAGGACTAGAAAGCTCAGGAATATATATCTTGAGTAGGAGTTTTAAACTAAAGAATGTTCCCCTGTTATTGTCTAGTCACCCCATCCAGGCAGCAATTGTTCACACATGCGTAAGGTGAGCAACAATATATGAAAATGTCAATGTCACAAAACAAGGAGGGTGTAGCTTGATACTGCGGAGGCATAAACCTGAATGACAAACCAAGAACTGTTTTTAAAAGAGTATAAAACTCACTCTGAAAATAATGCAACTTTGGACATGTGCTAAGCAAACACCTGTGCTACGCTCCCATGGACCATTTTGGAGTCAGAGTCAGCCTGCCCCTGGTTACTGTCACTCAACGACCTTTTCTCTCCCTTGGTGTTTTTGTTCTAGTTAGTCCTGCCATTAAATCACCCAAAATGTATGAAAAAGGACAGGTATAGGCCATAGGTCTGCAGTCCTTTGTGAGTTGCATCAGGATAAGTCTGCTTGGCCATTATTCCCAAGCAAAACTGCATCAGCTTTATTGCCCTCACAAATCCTAACTTCCCATCCATGTATGTTATGGCTTAAAAGGCACATGATAGAGAAACTTGTTAGCAGCTTGTAAAGTTTTGAGAAGCATCTTTTTATTTAAAAGAATTATTCACTGGCAGTGCTCAAAGGACTATCTAAACAGTGAACTAAGAAGAGAAAATGATAAAGAATGCAGTATGTATTTTTGCTAAATATAGTAAATTTAATTTTCAAAGTAAGCCCTGTCTGACATTCAGATTTTCCAAATATTAAATGTTTTTCTTTTCAGTAAAAGCTCTTCCTCAAAGAGTAAAAATAGATGAGTTAGGTGGCTACTGTGACTATTTTTTATATGGAAGTTGTGGTTAGTATTTCCTTATCTCTACAGAAATAATCCATCATTTTTCTATCTGTTTCTTGCATTGGAAGTCCAAGGGAACTACTTCCTCTGCCTGATGAAGGATCCTGGCAAGATCTTGCTAAGGCTGCCATCTGAGCTGCAGCTAGTCTTGTTCCCACCAGATCTTCTCACAGATGCTATTATGGACATAACTCAGACCACTTGTAGGAGAAAGGCACATTTTTTTCCTAAAGACTTCAGCAGCGTCATGGCTAACCACAATGCTAATGCTGCTGTAGGGTCTAATCTGAAATGCACTTTTTCCTCTTCTTCATTGTTCTTTTTTTCAATATAAAATATCAGACCATTTAAAATGAAAATGGAGACGACTGCATCTTACAAATCTCCAAAGATCTCGTTACAACACTGCAAGAACAAAAGGGCTATGAGGCGCTGGTGCTTAAAAATGCTAAAAATATTATTTAAAGAATAAACCAGACTTTTTCTTCTGCTCCTGATATAGTCATTTCAGATCATAGAGAAGTGATGAAGTGTAAAACCAATTTTTCTTTGCTTTGTATTTCACGTTTGAAGATTAGTTGTGGTCTTAAGGCTTAAAACATGGCTACGGGGATTACCTATGATGGCAGGTACGGTACTCTGACAAATGAGGTACACATGCTCCAAGCCATACTAATAATGTGTTAGTGCTCATTGAAGCTGGAGTTTAGAACATTCTTTCATATTTTATCAAAATCTATTGTACATAATTAACTTTTTATATAGTCACATAAAGTGAATTTCTGTCTATGTGGTGAAACTGACTGAAATACTTCTTGTGAAAACACTCCCCTTCTGGGAAACACTTATTCAATAGGATAAACTTTGCAAGTGAAATAAGCTAACCCAGAATAAAAACCTTTACTTACTCTGAAATGGGAATGTCCGTATGGGGAGTTATTCCAAACTGGTTATTATCCTTTAAATTCACAACACACCTGGTTCCAGCATGACCTGTAAACCGTCACATTAAAAAAAAAAAAAATATCTTTATGCCCCTTCCTCCCTTCTCTCCCTACCAAATTAATTCAGCAGTAACCCACTGGGTAGCACTATGACAATTTTGTCTTTCTTAGAAAGAGTATATTTATGATCTTTACCGGTGTGGGGCTGACAAGACAGAATAACTAGTCTGAATAAAAGCTGAACCTTTGCACAATATTTTATTTGGAGGTTTTTTTTATCCAAACCTCTCTCTATATATATGTCTTTTAGAGTATCTGAACGCAATCTAATGTGTGTTTGAAATTGAACTTGTCCCTCAATGCTTAGTGAGAAATAGCAGGGCTCCGTTTGTTGTCAATGTAGTGAACCTCTTAACTGACCTTCAGGTTATGAAAGAAACATCATCCTGGTGACATCATTTATGCTGAACAGATACTTATGCAACATACACATTTGTTCAATAAAAGTACAGTAATAATAAGAATTGCATAACTCAGATTGCTAAATAATGTGCCATTAATTTATCAAGACTGCTTACTTTAAACTTAAGCCCTTAATTGAAGAAAAATGAAAGACACTTGAATGAGCTGATCATTTTTACATTGTAAGGTGTATAAAATTATGACTACTTGTGTAACAGATTGCTGCTCTCTTTGGCTTTTCTTAATAAAAATATAGTTCTATATTCTTAAAAAAGTTCTGCTGATTCTAAAATTGACTTGAGATTAATTTCATTTTGGAGAGTGATGGGTTCATAAAGCTGCAAAGTTTTGCTTTCATATTTTATGTCCTGGCTCTTTGTTACTACTTGTTGATCCAAGAACATCTCACATTTACGTTTAGCCTCAATAAATGAAGGCAACAAGAGCCAGATTTTCTGGCTGCAGTGTGGGCTCTGCGTTCATGACCACTGCAATCTGACCTTGTTAACTGCTCCTGGAAAGGCAGTCAAAAATAAGGATTAAAGTCTGCTGAGTACAACAGACCTTTCTGAATGGGAAAAAGCTGTCCTCGTTGGCTCAGCCGAGCTAGCTTAAAAGGAAATTATTATATTTATAGAAATAAATTGGATCAGATAATAGCACAAACTAGGTAACTATGCATTATCATTAATGCTTACACCTAATGCTCATTTAACGTTTTAGTATGCTCAGCCTTTTTTATGAAACAGGCTTAAATGGTGGACTTCATGGCATGGAGTATCTCTAATTACATTTGTTTAGTATCCAGTTCAGAGTTCTCCAGATCTTAACATCTTGCTAATTTTGAAAGGCAGTTAATAAAATTAGAAGCAGGGCAAAATTGAGACAGTATTAATAGTAATGAAACTGGAGAAAGCCAGGAGAGAGAGAATTTGGGGAAAACACAGGCAATGACATAGCCCTGCCTTTCAGTGACCGCTGTCCTGAGAAACAGCATCACATAGATCATGCTTTATTCCAGGGAGGGCTTTTGTGGAGACCACAGGCAACAAAACTATTTGTTCTGGAAATATGCACGGCAGCAAGTGGATGTTCTCTAATTCATCTCTACATCCTCACAGTAGTGCAAGGTAGGCATGAGGTTGGCTTCTTCCAATTAACTTCCTCTGACAGAAATATCCCATTTCCCTCTCAGCTGGGAGGTCTTCACAAAGTACTACTGAGTCTTAGCTACAGTAAGATACCAATTATATGCTGATATAAAACTATTTTATAGAACTCCTTAAAAATATGTGCAATCATTTTTAGTGACAGACACTATTCAGACTTCCAAGGCAACAGTTGAAAGACTGAGGAATTGGACCTTAGACACATTGCCCAATTAAGCATGAAATGAGAGAGTAACTTGAGAGCAATGGGGAGATTTCTAAGTGAGCATATACATCTTGAGGAGGTCCTGGCTGGTACAAAGCTGCTTCTCTATAGTAACTGTCCATGTTTTAAACAGTGGTATGAGTGGAAGCAGAAGCTCTAAAACTATTTTAAGTGTAAAGCCCAGGAAATGAGCAAGAGTGAAGTTGGTGTTTCCTCTACCTTTGGACGCCAACACTTGGGCAGCAGACTAAACCAATTGTCATTGCCAGGCAGGCAGTACCAGAAAAGCATGCAAGGTCTTCAGTAGGTTGAGTATCACCGAGGGCCTTGTAATACCCATCAGTGAAATGACGAAGGAACCAGCTTATTCCTCTCTAGCAACAGCATTTGAGATAGACTGTTAGCTATTATTACAGCAAGTGAAACAATGATAGAGAGCTGACAAAAAAAAACCAACCTCTAAAAAGCAAGGAATCACGCAAACAAGCAAAAAGAAATCCAAACCCTTTTTCTTTTTCCTGAAAAAGATTCTATAGCAAGTATCTCAGGATGAACTGGCAATTACCAAGTACTAATGACTTAAAGTGATCACCTGGATTCAGATTGTATGTCTAAATTCAGTAGACAACTATCCCTAAACTGACAAGGAGCCACTCAAGTCATGGCTAGTGCAAATTTTTTGACTACCAGATCAAGCCCTTTAGACCCACAACTGCTTCAGATGGTAGCAGATTGCAGCCATCTCTGAGGAGCTACTCCTACTGAAGAAAGGATTTTAATGTTAAAATAGCTCATTATGCAACTTCTGCAGTAAATCCATCCAAGCTCCAACAGTCTCAGTGTCTACTCGGCCCTGAGTCACATCCACTCTCTATCTAGAAATGAGGCAAAGAACCACATAATGGTGGTCATATTCAACAGGTATGATCTTCTCTAGTAACTAGCTCAAAGAGCATGCCATGTCTGCCATGACAAACTCAGGTTTCAAACTTTTTTCGTGGTGGAGGTTTGCTACAGTAGCACGTTAACTTTGTTGTCTTCTTTTCAGAACAGTATTTTTAGAAAAATAATCTCTTTTCAGCTCTCACAATAAATAAATGCATTGATTAAAATTACGCTTGCAAAGCAAGCACCCATTCATTGGAAAACACCTGATGAATGATTATGAATGCAGCCACATGTGTTCCTTAAGATAACTGTTAATTACATGGGCATATGTATTTTGTCCCTAGATGACTTCACTAGAGGACAGAAATATGGTTACACAAGCAGTAAATTTGTAATTA